AAGTAGGATTGCCCAACCTTCCTTCCGAGGAGTGGCTGATGGGTTTGAACCACCAGCCTTCTGGTGAGCAGTCAAGTGCCTTAGGCACTATGCTACCAGTGGATGTACCCTTTCCTAATTATGTTAAATTTCCTTATAGGTGTGTTTGCATTTGGACTTTTTGCTACTGACATTTTTGTAAACGCCGGGCAAGTGGTCACTGGGCACCTAACGCCATACTTCCTGACAGTGTGCAAGCCGAACTACACCAGCACAGACTGCCAAGCACACCACCAGTTCGTAAGCAACGGGAACATTTGCACCGGGGACCTGGAAGTGATAGAGAAGGCTCGGAGATCCTTTCCCTCCAAACACGCTGCTCTGAGCATTTACTCTGCCTTATATGCCACGGTGAGTGTGCGAGTCCTGCTCTCCCCCAAGTTGAGTTTTTGCTCAACATGGCTCTCTCTGCATCCACCCATTCTTTTGTCACCATGACCTGACTGATAGTGATCTATCAAGTCATGCTGTAACATGTGTCGTCTGTGTTATATCATGCCATCGCCCTCCTCCCCGAAGTCCCGGCGCAATATACGTGCGATAGCCTTTCCGGCCAGAGGATATTGGTTCCGGAAAGAATTTTGATAATCCTCTAGTCAAACCCCATTGTTTTACAGGTCCAGAAGCCCAGAGAATAGCTAAGGCTACACAGTCAGAGCTGGAGCCCAGGCTTCTGGGACCAGATGTGAAATTCTCTTTGCTCGTAGGACAAGACTCTTTGCCAAATTTTGGTTGATTTCAGAATAGCACTCATTTCTCACACCTGCCGACAATGTGCAGGTGCATGTGACCCCATACTGCCCAGCAGCGAGGCCGACTCGGGAGACTCCCACACCTTTCTTTTGCTCCTGCCAGCACCCCTCTCCACTGCTCTGCTGGCAAACAGGAATGGACTGGGATGACCCCAGCATAAGTTCCCTTCTCCTTGCTTGCCAAGCCCCCTAGAGTTTGACTGCTCCACTGGGGTGGACTTGCCCTTCTTGCTCTTGTCACAGAGAAAACCCAAAATGTGTCTGCTCTTAAAATACAAGATAGAACTATGGTGCCCTTTTATTTTCCTGCTATTTACTTGCACCCCTTGTGGAAATGACATCATGTCACCTTTCTCGGGCCAGTCCTTCATTAGAACCCAGACCTCAGAAGTGTAGGGCTCAGCTCAAAGACTCCACTGCTCAGTGCTGGTAAATGTGTGCTTAACTGTGGAGTGCCAACTGCTGGTCAAAATCGTCCCTTTTCTCACTCAAGCTTATTTTATATTCAGGATATGATCAGTCCAATGACTCTTGATGAAAGGTAGGAGAGCGAGAAGGCAGGGCAAGACCCCTCTCAAGCTGTCCGTTCTTCCTGGGGACTTGGAGCCCAAGCACTGTCACCCAGGCTGTGACACAGGGACGCTCCTAGCCGTTCCACTGAGAGTACCGCAGGGGTCCCACTCTGCTTCTGATGGAAAAGCCCCTGAATATACTAAGGGTGGGGAAAAGGTGAATAACTACAGGCCTGGCCTATTGAGTAGAGTTTAAAACGATTGGTTGAATATCCTCTTTAAAACAATGGAAGCAAAAAGGGCCTCTGTGTTCCATTTACAAGGAGCTCTGGTAGTGCAGTGGGTGAGGCATTTGGATGCTAACCAGAAGGTGAACAGTTCAAACTCACCAACTGCTCTCGAGAGGAAGATGAGGTAATTTGCTTCTGTAAAGATGTATAGCCTTGAAAACCCAATGGGGGTCACTGTGAGTCGGAATCAACTCGATGGCAGTAGGTTTGGTGTTTTTTTGTTTGTTTTTTAGTTATTCCTTTTAGATCTACTCTTCAATGAATACATGACAAAAATGATCCCTACCACCCCCATGCTAAGGAAACATGTGAACACAAATAATTTAATAAGTTCTGATTGATGTGAGCAGGTCAAATGTAACTTGGTTAGGACTCTGATTTTCCAAAAAATTTATGGCATGTATTCATTAAACAAAGAAAGCCCTCTGAGGCATACAGCGCATTTTCTAGTTTTTTTATATTGATGTATCCTAAATTATCTGGTGTCCTGGAAGAAGTGCAGCTGGAATGCTCCTTGGAAGTGAGAATGACCAGACGTCGTCTCACCTACTTCTGTCATGTTGTCAGAAGGGACCATCCCTGGAGAAGGAGACCATGCTTGGTAAAGTGGAGGGTCAGCAATTAAAAAAAAAAGTGGGGGGAAGGCCCTCAACGAGATGGATTGACACAGTGGCTGCGACAATGGGCTCGAGAGTGCAAGCATTGTAAGGCTGGCACAGGACCAGCCTGTGTTTCGTTCTGTTGTATGTATGAGTCGGAGACGACGCGACGGCACCTAACAACAGCAACAAATTATCTGGAGTCAAATTATTTAAAACATGTTTTCTTTTTATTTCATCAGAATCAATTCATTGTGGTGTAGAATTCATTTTTACACCATTGTAAAAACAATCCTGTTACTCGTAGTACATTGCTATCTTATCAAATGATGCCATAAACTCAGGGAAGAAAGAAGTGAGTACAGTCAGCTCACTCAAAGTAGCTGCTCTTCTAACACATGTTTCCAAAGTGTCAAATAGAAGCCGATCGGATCATCCTCGCCATACAGAACATGAAACCGACAAACCTGGTGCCAATATTCCAACTGTGCAAACATTTTCAGAACCCCTACTGCAGGTTACATGCTTTTACAAAGTACTTAACAAGTATTTCCTAAGTGCCAGTTAATGCTGTGAGAAATAGGGCAAAGTAACCATAGCCCCATGCTCTTAACTCTTTGAAATCTTGTCAGAAAGTTTATAAAGGATACAATTAAAAAACAGTATGTTGTTGTGTGCCATTGAGTCGGATCCGACTCATAATGACCCCTCATTGGGTTTCTGAGGTGGTATCACTATGGAAGTATATTGTCCAACCTTCCTTCCGAGGAGTGACTGGTAGGTTTGAACCCCCAGCCTTCTGGTTAGCAGTCAAGTGCCTTAGGCACTACGCTACCAGAGCTCCCAGAAAACAACACAGGAGCATAAAATACTAATGTTAAATATATAGTAGAAATTTCAATAACATTTCTCCCACACACCCTCAGCATAGTGTGATAGTATGCTCTAATTTATGCAGCTTTGATCTAACCACTGTAGTGTAGGGCATCTGTTACATATGATAATGAGAACCCTACCTTTTTTATTCACACCCGTGTTGAAGCATCACTGTATGCAGTTGATTATTTCCATTGCTAATTGTAATGTGTATCTATTTGCACATTTATGTGTGCTCACGCCATACAAACACTGTTTGTCATTGACTATAATGTAAGGATCAAGATATTACTTTCTAGGGTTGCTAAACTCATCACATGTGTTAAGAAATGATGGATCCATCATGCCCTCTAGTGTTTTTTTGTGACCATTACCAGGCATATCTTCCTGATCCTAGGCTACCAGGAACAGATTTGATAAGTCCAAAAAAACCAAACTCACAGCCATTGAGTCAATTCCAACTCATAGTGACCCCCACTGGGTTTCTGAGGCAGTAAATCTTTATAGGAGTAGATTGCCCCATCTTCCTTCCACTGAATGGCAGGTGGGTTTGAACCACCAATCTTCTGGTTAGCCACCAGATGCCCTAGGCACTGTGCCACCATCTCACCCAGCTTTTTACAATGAGATAATAACAGCTCGAATCTCCAGTGTTATATAAACTGCCTCACTGCTTACTTAGTTCATGTCTTCCTGACCTTGTTTACCTGGTGGGACATGCAGGAACGCTTACTGTATCAGAACACACTAAGTAAATGATTGGGTGGAACTCATCACAGCTGCCCCGAGGAATGTGAGCATCAACTTTCCAGCACAGTTGTAGCTCATTTGTGTGACACATTGGTTGGAAGGTTCTAATTCAGCCAACGCACTCATCAGTCACCCCTTTGGAACAGATTGCCTGGTTGCCATGAGTTGGAGTCAACTTCACAGCAATGGGTTTTAAGAGTGAAGAAGCAGCTAGGCCTCTGGGGTTTGCAAGAAGGAAACTGTATAGTCACTCGCTGCCTGGTTTTCACCCTAAAGTTCGTTCTCACAGAAGGTTTAGTTGGTGTTTGAGATTCTTGACCCCCCCCCCATGCTTCTTTAACTTCGTACGTTAACGGCACGGTCTGAAACTGATGAGGATTGTGCAGTCCCTCCTCATGCCCCGTCCCTTCTGTCCTCGTGCCCCTAGACTGCGAGGCACCGGGACTGACATGCATCTGTCCATTGCTCTTGCTGCCCTAGTTTCCTTCCTTAAGTTTCTACCAAGTAGTTCAGTGAAGTTGTTCCAGGAAAACCAGGTAGGGCCCTGTGTGCGTTGGTGTGTGAATGTGTACACACATGTGTATGCACAGGTCCAAGGGGCCGCCTGCTTACCCCGGCCTCTGTCCTGTTCCAGATGTACATCACAAGCACAATCAAGACGAAGAGCAGCCGACTGGCCAAGCCGGTGCTGTGCCTTGGGACCCTCTGCACAGCCTTCCTGACGGGCCTCAACCGGGTTTCTGAGTATCGGAACCACTGCTCGGATGTGATCGCAGGCTTCATCCTGGGCACTGCTGTGGCCCTGTTTCTGGTACGTCCCCTGCCCTCATTCTACCCCTTTCCTCTAGTTCCCTCCAAAGGGCTGCATCGGATTGTGATGAGGCAACAAAATCGGGTTTCCAGACTTCTTTTTAGCGTCTAAGTCCATAGGTGCTCCTCTTGTCTCAGCCTTGTGAATGACAGTTATTCTCCAAGTGTTATGCATCCTGCTGCTGTAAGAGTGGTTTCTAAACACTTTTCCTTTCAGAAATAGGATTGGCTGTATTGCCTCTCGGGGGTCAGGGAGAAGATTGCGCCAGGACGGACAGCTTACCCCACTTTCTTCAACACTGGGCTTTGGGATTGAGGCTGGGCAGACTAATAATAGGGCATACTTTAAAAGCAATGTTCTGTAAATGTTTGTTCTAAATATTAATAAGTGTTTAGAGCCTAAGGTAGGTGTTGCTTGAGAGAAGAACAGGAAGAAGAGCCCTGGTGGATGCATGCAGCCTCTTTTCCAAAATGCCAAGAAATTCGGGTCTGACCCCAGACTTGCATAGCCCACTCAGAAAAATGAAAGCCCTGTAGCTAACCACACCCCCACTTTTCAGAAGCCCTGGTATTATCTAAACATGTTTCTTGGACATCCCATCTCCACCACAGGTGGCTTCTCAACCATATTTAAGAAACATCACGGAGAAGAGCGTTGGTTGATAAGTTGTCTCCTTACCCTTACATTTCTGATGAGGTTTTCACTCCCATAGTAGACGGGGTCACTGTGAGTTGGAATGGACCCAACAGCAGCAAGTTTAATAGATGGGGGCCAGGTCACCTAGCAAATCTCTTAATCTTTATAAGATTATAAAACAATAGGTTTGTTTTCTCATTGTTTTTGTCTTAATTTTTACAATAAGCATCTAATAGGTTGCACATAAATTAGACAATTTGGATAAATGTTGACGTGTGGCCATACCATGGAATCACAACCACTATAAGATAATGAACACATCCATTACCTTCAAAAGCTTCTTCATGCCCCTTTGCAGTCCTTCCTCCTACCCTTCCCCTCTCCTGTTGCTAAAACAACCTCTGATCATCTTTCTGTCACCACATATTGCTTTGCCTTTTCTGGAATTTCATATAAATGAAGTCATATAGTACAAACTCCTTTTCTCTGCCTTCTTTGTCCCAGCATAACTCTTTGGAAATTCATCCATGCTGTAGCATGTGTCAATAATCCATCGTTCCTTCCTATTGCTGTGTCATACTCCATTGCATGGGCATACTATAGCATTGTTTCATTTTGTCTTCAAGTATTAAAAATGAGCTTATCCTGAGCTCCAAAAAGAATGCTGACAACATTCTTGTCCTTATTTACAGTGAATCACCAGGCCTGGAGCCTCATGTGTTACACATGAAATGAATTCCCTAACTGTATTCAGAAACCATCCCGAAGGAGACAGAAGCCATTGTTGTCTGGGAAAACCTCCCTCCTCCCATTCTGCCCTTTGTGGTCCAAGAACCCATTAAGAGTGATATCACATTTCAATGAACTTCACAGTCATATAACCTATCTACTTCCCAGACCCTAAGTCAGCATTTCTGATCCTTTTTTATTGTTCAGATACACATAGGAAGTGATCACACTTAGTGAGGACACTGATTGGGAAGTGTGGTTCTAACTCAAAATTATTCTGAGTGGACCCCAACTTTCTTCCCTTAGTGAAAGATGAAAGATATAAATGCAAATTCTCTGGGTGAAGTTGCAGGGAAGGTGGTACCGAGATGATCTTGAGAAGTTGATGTCTGATGAAGAATAGCTCCCAAGAACACTTTTTAAAAGAGGGAAAGGATACAGGTGATTTGAAAAGGAGAGGGATTTCAGAGTGAGATCAAAGGCTTTGGGCTCCAAAGAAAAAACAAACCACTTTACTGTCCAACCATCCCAAGCTCAAGAGAGTGTGACTGCCCTGGGCGACTTTGTGAGATAATTGCTTTGGATTCCTTTGTGTTTGCTGAAGCCCCAGATTCAAATTCTGCTTTAACATTAAACTTGTTTTCTCTCAGCAATGTACTGTTGGTCAATTTCTGCCTCCTTGACATGATTTCGCAATTGATGTCAAAATGTTATTTCCACAAATCACCTTTTTGTAAAATCCAGATCAGCCATGGGCTTCCTCTGCATGAGATGAACCATCCTGTCTCAGACGGCACCTGCATGTGCACATGGATGCATAACACATACACGTCCATTATGCTGGGAAATAGGAGGGGAAAGAAGATGGAGGGATGGACGTCATGGAAAAGACTGAAGGATTCCAAAGCAGAAAGTGGGAGAGAAGACAGAAAAAGAGAGAAGAACAGTATCTGAGAGTAGAAACATAGTTGCTGCATAGGTTGTTTATTGTTTTCCTTGTTGTTTGTGTACACCATGAAGATGAAAGTGGGGGGAAGAGCAAGGAAATTATTAGTTGAAGAATTACTGCATGCCCCACACTGTATATGTATATCCAATCATGTGCTTCTAGAACAACTCGAGCAAGTTGTCAGATAAGGAAAATGAGGCTCAAGTCACTTCACTGACTTGCCCAGTGACCACTCAACCAATTCGCCGTGAATCTAACCTGGTCTCTCCAACTCCAGAGCTCCTACACCTTCCACTTTCCCCGTTTCCTGGAGGAAGCTTGAGCAGGGCTGGAAAATGAGATGGAGGTGAGCGAGATAGCGAGTGTTTTTTTCACTGAAGTATTCTGCAGGGTTTGAAGAGTAACAGGAAAGATGCTAGTTCAAAGACACCACACTGGATATAGCAACAATGATGAGGAAGCAAGTGGAAGAGAGGATATGGAAAGAGGCTAGTAAACTCTACACAGACAAAGCGACCAGAGAAATGGTAACAACAGAGTCAGTTAGGAAGGAGCTTCAGTAGGTAATCAAGAAAGTGGGTCATAATGTATAGGGGAAGCTCTTAATGGAGACAGTAAAAGAGAATAGCCACTGATAGGTCATTTAATATCAAGCAAATAAAAATGAGCTACCTAGTCACATAATTGGAGTGTGAACATTTTAAGCAGGTGTTACCTAGTAGTTAACACTTACAATTTACTTCCTATGTGTTTGGCATTTATTAAGGGGCAAATAGCATAGTGGTGAGAGGTAGGGGTTCTGGTGTTCAAATCTCTGTGTGACCTTGGGCAAGTTGTCTGGTTTCTCTGTTCTTCCTTTTCTAAGCAGGAGCTGAGTATAGCACTTCTCTTGTAAGATTGTTGGGTAGGTTAAATGAAGCAAGGTGAAACCCTCAGCACAGTGCCAGACACAGGGTAGCCCTTGATAGGTACCATCTGTTGTTATTAGGCAGTTTACATTCATGGTGTTTTTTAATTGTTACAAATCCTCTGAGGTGGGTATTAGCCCCATTTTACAGATAAGGAAACAGACTCAGTGTGGTGCACTGATTACCACCCGCTATCTGGTGATTAAACAAATGCTCCCACACATGGACACAGACACACCCACTTAGAGTGTTCTTTGTAGACACCCTGTGTCATGCCTCAGATTTTCTATGATCCCGACCCATTGAAAAGCAGAAAGTCAGTATGGCGACAGTATTCAAGGGGAAAGTCCTGCCTTCCTCAGAGATGGCCAGGTGGTGATGGCTGCAGTCTGATCCCAATCTCTTTTCCCCTCATCCTGCAGGGAATGTGTGTGGTCCATAACTTTAAAGGAACGCAAGGATCTCCTTCCAAACCCAAACCCGAGGATCCCCGTGGAGTACCCCTAATGGCTTTCCCAAGGATAGAAAGCCCTCTGGAAACCTTAAGTGCACAGGTATAGTAAAGTCATTTAGCAAACCAAACCCACAGGCTCACACCTGTAACCTTGGATACTCAACAAATCTGTTCCTTCTTGGAGGCAAGATTTCACTGAATCCATCCCATAAAGATGCAAGTCTGATCCCTCAAGTAAAGTGTCATCACAGCTTCTCTCAGTCAGTCCTGTTTTCATTCTGGAGTTGGCAGTTGGACCCTCAGGAAGCTCTTAGTAAGGTCCAACTTGAACCCCACTTGCTTCTGATCACTTTGACCTCCAAGGCAACACTTCCACAAATTTTGTCCAATCATGTTGAAGGCCAACTTCATTGATCGACTGGGACAATATTTGGAAAGAAAAATGTTTTGTTCCATCCAGTGAAGGGAATAAGCTGGAAGCACGTTAATAAGAGCTCATATGTCAATGTCCTTTTGGACCTCTTTTGATGACCACAACTGAAAATTCAGTGCCACAGTGCTTACTGGTCACTTATTGTACACCAGGGCCTTATTTCCTGCCAGAGATGCACAGTGTGAGGACCCTAAAAGGACTCACAGATGATCAGAAAAGGTGGATAGAAGTGAGTTGATAGTATGACATGCAAAGTCAGAGACCACAAAGTGTTCTTTGAAAACAAAAGTAAAAAATACTCTGGCTGAGAAAACAGGTAGAGCTATGAAGATGTGCCAACTGAAAAGAGCCTCAGAAGTGGTATTGGGCATGTATATTGTGTCAAGGCCCGTGGCTAGGTACCTTACAAATAATAATCTTCTTTGAATAACTACCCCATTGACCTTGGACAAGATACTATCATTCCCACTTCACACATGAAAAAAATGAAGACAGCGGTGTTAAATCACTTGCCCAAGGCCACAGAGTGAGCAAACAGGAGAGCTGGGATGAATAGGAGTTTTTAATCTGATGAGAGAGGGAGGTGACTAATAATACAACAGGACTTTTATTAGCATGGGCTTGTTTCGGGCAGCAGGGTCCTGCTGAAATGTATCTTTTCTCTGAAAGTCTGTTTATCTTGAAATCTTGATTATATTGGCATTTTCTTACTAAACCATTTTTATAGGTCATGCAAGCCAACCACCTTATATAGAAACTATCATATACTTCATATGAAAATATAATTTTTAAAAAATATTTTTCTCTAAAGCCACTCCTCAGAAGGAAGGTTGCACAATCTACTTCTGTAGTGATACTGCCTCGGAAACCTAAGGTCACTGTGAGTCGGGTCCGACTCGATGGCACATAACGACGACAACAAAAGTTTTTTAAACTCAGATTTCACTCTGAGACACGCTATATTATTTCCTTTCACCTTTAATAAAGTATTTCTAATTTTATCAATGAACCAAGAAAAAAAAAAACTATTTCCATCTTGGAAAAACTACTTAAGGCTTTCCATGAAACGCAGTGCCTAATTTTTTTTGTCTATTTGGTTGTTTTCTCTTAACCTGTATTAAAGTGAAAATTTTGAGTTGGTCTAATTAGAAATAAAGTCTAAAAAGATTGGTTCTGGTTTAGCTATATATAGCCAGTTACGGAAGGAAGGTTAGGCTATGTACTTCCGTAGAGGTATCACCTTGGAAACCCAAGGAGGGGTCGCTATGAGTCAGAGATGACTCGACAGCACATAACAACAACAACTGCTGGTTCAGTGATGACTTAACCAAGTAATAATACCTTTTGGTGAAATGGTCTCTCAGTAAGAATCGCCCTAGTTTTTCTTCCTCATCAAATTATGGGTCTGTGCCCGGTGACATCAGAGTTGCTATCTCTGTTTATAAGATGAAGCAATTGAAGACAAGGGTGAATTTCAAAGCAAACATTTGAATTTCTCAACTATTTTTCTGTCTCTATGTTCTTGTACACTTGTGCAAAATGCATCCACTTTGCCCCAATATCCTAATCTAAGAACACACCCTTCCCATGTCATTTTGCTGCCCAATTCTGCTCAAGGTTTACCCCCTGTCTGAAGCTTTCTCCACAGTTCTTTCTCTTCAGTCAGAACCATTAATGGCTGTCCAGGCCAAGAGAGGCCCAGTGGTGTAGTGCCTAAGGCGTGACTGCTAACCAGAAGGTTGGTGGTTCAAACCCACCAGCCACTCGGTGGAAGGAAGACTGGACAATCTACTTCTGTAAAGATTTACTGCCTTGGAAACCCAATGAGGGGTTGCTATAAATTGGAATCGACTTAATGGCAGTGAGTTTTTTTATTTGTTTGTTTTTAATACTTAATAGAAAAATGGAGTACCAAAACAAGATTATAAAAATCACTATTCACAGGATAGATATAGGATAACAGGAATACATCTATGTATCTATCTATGTTATTGTTCCTAGCTGCTGTCAAGTCAATCCTTACTCATGTGACTCCATGTGTGGAGAGTAGAATTACTCCATAGGGTTTTCAAGGCCATGCCCTTCTGAGAGCAGATCACCAGGCCTGTCTTCTGCATCACCTCTGGAGTGGGTTCAAATCACCAACCTTTCAGTAGTCAAGTGCTCAACCATTTGCACCACGCAGGGACTCCTGCATATGT